TCCACACCCTAGCAAGGTCCTCAGTCCTAAGTAATTTTTAATTACTTATTTACACATTTGCCTCTCCCATTGGACTGTAATCCTTGAAGGCAAGGATTATGTTTCATTTATCCTTTCTATCCTCAGCACCTAGCACAGTAACCAGCACATGGTAGAGGCTCAGTAAATATTTGTTGCACGTGTAGGAAATCCCTTATTAGATTGTAAGTAATTTGAAGACAAGGATAGCTTTACACTACCTAAAAGATAGTGTGGGCTATTACTGTCTTAAATCCTTCTTGGAGTAAGTTGGAGTATAAATAAATTAGGATATGCTTTCCATGGAACAAAGTTGCTTTTAATGAATAGGAGTCAATGCCTTCAAATGTATTCAAGCACCCATTTCCCCTGACTTTGCGCAAGCTTTTCTTTTATTTTTTTTAAAATATATTTTATTGATTTTTCACAAAGGGGAAGAGAGAGGGATAGTTAGAAACATTGATGAGAGAGAAACATCGATCAGCTGCCTCTTGCACACCTCCTACTGGGGATGTGCCTGGAACCAAGGTGCATGCCCTTGACGGGAATCAAACCTGGGACCCTTGCGTCCGCAGGCCGACGCTCTATCCACTGAGCCAAACCGGTCAGGGCTACCCAAGCTTTTCAAAAACCCCAGCACCAAACCTCCCTGCTTCCTTCCCCTTACTCTGCAACATCAAAACACTTTTTTTCTTCTTTTTTGAGAGAGGAAAGGAGAGGGAGAGAAAAATATTGATGTGAGAGACACATCGATTGGTTGCCTCCAGCAATGACCCCCAACCAAGAGCCCGAAACCTGGGCATGCACCTTGACCAGAAATCAAACCTGACTCTTCGTGCATGGGATGACATTCCAACCAATTGAGCCACACTGGCCAGGGCCAAACATCTTTTAACAGCAAAGACAATAGCTTTACCTTGCAGCCAATTCTCAGAGCCCTGTATCTCAATATATACCCCACCTCAAGACTTGAGAAAATATTCTACCCTTAAATATATCTGTTCCACAAGAGAATTCTTACCCATCCTCCTCCTACCCAAAGTGGAAATTTCATTCCCTCAAAACTGGCCAGTGTGACTTGTTTGGAGCGTCATCCCGTGCACCAAAAGGCCACAGGTTCAACTCCTGGTCAGGATCCATAACCAGGTTATGAGTTCAATCCCCCCCCCAGTCGGGGTGCATATGGGAGGCAACCAACTGATGCTTCTTTCTTTCTTTTTAATTTATTTTAGAGGGAGAGAGACATCAATGTGAGAAACATCTATCGCTGACTTTCTCTTCTCTCTCCCTCCTTTCCTCTCCCCCGCCCCTTTCTCAAATCAATGAAAGCATATCCTCAGATGATTGATTAAACAACAGGAGCACTATATAAACAGCAAGCAATGACCCTTGTAAGTTTTGTGAACAGCCTTTCATGCTTTTTAAAAAATGAAAATGTTCCGGTTTGTTGTTGTTGTTGTTTTTTTTCCATAAATGGGGCCTTATTCTGCATATTGTTCAATAACGCTTTCATTTATCCAGATTCCTAAACCTATTGGTCCAATGCCTTAGTGTCTCAGTAATTTTCACAACACTCCCTAGACAAAAACAAACAAACAAAAAACACACAAAAACACCACTTACTAATTACTTAGATCCAAACAGCTTAAGTATTTATGTCCTACCAACTTAACAGAATTTGAAAAAATACACTAAATTTGAAAAATCGTTTTTAATATATTAAAGCACCCCTCCCCCAACTACAATTATTTACTTATGATACCTGCTGGGCACTGCCCAACTTCTCAAATCTTAGAATCAGATTGGACAGGACCAACCTATTTCTTGCTCTACAGTGATCTTGTCCAGAATTTAGCAACTGCTAAAAACCAAGCTTCACAAAGACATGACGTCATCTGAAAGGGTTTGGTGCCACCTAATGTTGAAAAGGAACTACCTGGCACTAGTAGTTCCCAGGTGTGCTTGTATTTCTAGAAAATTTAAAATCTCTCAGGGGCGCCTGTGAGTTTGCTGCAGAGCCTCAGCAGTTTGGGATTTAATTTATTGGGAAGGTCTTGTTCTACTGTAAAAATAGAACCTGAGTTATTCAACAGGATTCCTATTAGTAAATTAATACTTAGGAAATTTATAATTTCAAACAATGTTGCAATAAAATACTTCTACATGTATCTTTGTGTACTTGTTCAATGATTTCATTCACTCATTTGACAAGCTTTTTAATTACATGCCTTATGTGCCAGGCACTATTTGAGATGCTGAAAGAAGGGAGTGAAAACAGTCTCTTATAAAATTTACATTCTATTGAGGGAGCAAAAAACCACACACAGAAAAACGAATCCTCTCAGGTAGTGACAGGTTATGAAGTAAAATAAATCAAGACTAAGGTTACAGGGCCATGTGACTGGTTGAGCGTCAAACCCAGGAGAGGTCACTGTTTGATTCCTGATCAGGGCATGTGCCTGGGTTATGGGCTGGATCCCCAATAGTGTGTGCAGGAGGCAGCCGATCAATTATTCTCTCTCATCATTGTTTCTATTTCTCCCACCCTCTCTGAAATCAGTAAAAAAAATATATATATTTTTTTTAAAAAGACTAAGGGTTGGTTATAGAATGCAGAAGGATGTCATTTAAATAGGGTGGTGAGGAAAGAGCTCCCTTGACATGGTATCTGAGCAGAGAAATATCCATCAGCTGCCTCCTGCACACACACCCGCACCCCCACTGGGGATGTGCCCACAACCAAGGTACATGCCCTTGACTGGAATCGAACCTGGGACCCTTCAGTCTGCAGGCCGATGCTCTATCCACTGAGCCAAACTAGTTAGGGCCAAACACTCAACCTTTGATGAAATATCTGGAATTGTGTTTGCTAACTGCCGATATTAGTTTCTTGGTGATGGAACTTGCAATGGGCCCCTAAAATTCGTCTGATTTCGTTTCATGTCGGGATCTCTGCAGTGCGGTGCCAGTCACCCTTCTCACCCTCCAGCCTCACCTGCGGCCGGGCTAACACCCCAACAAAACTGAACTCTGAGGAGCCTCTAGGCTGGACCCCACGTTGCCTAGGGCTCTGGGCGTTGCGAACCCACAGGCCAGTCGCCTAGGGCTGCGAGCAGCGCCACACCCCGCCCGCAGCGAGGAGGGAGGAAGAGTCGAGGGCAGATCCGCTTACCAGTTCATCCGGGCTGAGAACTCCGAACTGCACGCGCTTGATCGTGCGCAGCGGGCATGCGCTGTCCCCGGAGGGGGGGCCACCCCCGTGCATCGCGGAGGCAGGCGCGCTGCGCAGGCGCAAACCTCACTACAAAAAGCCTGCGCCGCCTCCGCCTAAGAGCTCAGACCCCGTCGGGGCGGCCGCCGGGAAGGATCTTCCCTAAGTAGGGAAGAAAAGGCCGGAGGAGGGAAAGGTTGGGGGAGGGAAGGAGGCGGGGAAATAAAAAGGAGCGAAAGGAGTTTTCCTCCCTGTTTCCGGAGGTTTTTCGTTTCTCAAAAAGGAAAAAAAAGGAGGAGGGGGAAGGAAGAGGGTTCAGAGGGGGGAGAAGAAAGAGGGTAACAAATAAATAGTTAACCGGGCTCCCGAACGGCAGAGGTTACGGCAGTTTGTCTCTCCCCCTTCCGGGAGCCGCCTTCTTCTCCAACCGTCCCGGCCGCGCTCTCGGCGCTTCTGAGAAGAGAACTGAGCGAATGACGCCTTTTATAGATCCGTCCCTGCATCCCCGCCCCTTCCTTTCCCGCCCTCCCTTGCGCTCTCCAGGGCGGTCTGCGCCGGCCCGCACGGGGGCGCGCGCTCCAGTCGTTGCTCCTCCCTTCCCGGCTCCGGGGTTGAGCGACCTTTGAAATGACGCGGGGGGAGGGAAATTGAATCCCTCCACCTCCCTAAACTGCTCGCTCTCGCGCTGAGGTTTGAGCTTTGGAGAATCGAGGGTGAATACAGGCTGTTTAGAGTCTAGTTTGGAGTGTGTTTCATCTTCAGCCCAAGTTTGTCATTAATACCCCCCCCCACCGGCTGGAAAATGGTCTGTTCTGTGATTCGGTAATGAAAGAGGCGGGGCCGGCGGGGGTTCCCGCAGGGGGTAGTGCTGGGGCCGCCCTTGGTCATGAATATGCAGTAGTCGCGCTGAATATGTATGAGGCAATCAAGACGGCCAGGCCGAGCGTTTGTCCGGAAGTAGCTATTTGCCGAGAGGCCTCCTGGGACGGGTGGGCATCTTCTGGCCGCTCACGGAGGAGCCCTGTTCGCGGCCCGAGTGCGGGATCCCCCGCCGGAGCCGCTCGGAGACCTCGGCTCAGGCCTGTCCGGAAGGAGGCTGGCCGCTGCCTGGCAGGGAGATCGCGGACCGTGACGATCCAGGAAAAGCAGATTAGCCGCGGGGCGGGACGCAAGCCCCGGGGGGTCAGGGCCTAAGCATCCGAACGTTAGGGAATCCTCTCCCTTCTAGAATATTTCAGAAAAAAGGTGGGGGAGGGGGGCTCCACTATCCTTCCACAGCGGAGATGACACAAACTGTGCAGCCACATTCAGGGTGATCCTTGTTTGATGTCAATGTCACGTCACCACCCCAAATTGGCCGGGGACGGGGTGGGGGGCACAGCCACTGGGAAGGGCAATCTCACGCAAGGAAAACAGGCAGACGCCCTTCCCCCAGCGCCGCTGATTGCTCTGCTGGCCTCCGGACGCCCCAGCCCATGGCCTTCTTCCTGTGCTGGGGTGCCATCTCCCCGTGACTCATGGCCTGCCTGCCTCAGCTCCTTGGATCTGCTCCTCGGACAGTATTTATTACTCTTATCCGGTCCTCTCGCCCCAGCCTGGATTCCACATCTCTTGGTCCCCAGGCTGGTGCCAGGTCTTCCAGGCAGTCCCTTTCCACCAAGTCCCGGTTCCCCTGGACCCCAAGGTCTGTACCTGTCCCACACTAGCTCTCTTCCAGTCGCTTGTTCTCCCAGGTTTTTATTCCAGTCCCTATTTGCCCTTGCCTTTCCCCCCACCCCCAGCTCTCAAGTCAGTCTCACTCCTCCACCTGCCCTGCCCTCTCACAGCTGAGGTTCTGGGCCTTGGTGATGGCCAGCACAACCACGGCCCCAATGATGTCAGAGGTGCCACCATCTCTCTCGCACTGGCCAGCGTGGCTCAGTCGGTTGGAGCGTCTCCTGTACATTAGAAGGTGGCATGTTCAATTCTCCGTCAAGGCACAAATTCAGGTTGTGGGCTCAATCCCAGTCAGGGGTGCGGGGGAGGGTGTGGAAGGCAGCCAATCAATGTTGCTGTTTCTCCCTCACATCCATGTCTCTCTCTCCCTCTCCCCCATTCCTCTCTCTAAAAAAAAAAGTCGTGGCTGGTGTTGCTTGGTGATTAGAGCATCAGCCTGCACACTGAAGGATCTTGGGTTTGATTCCAGTCAAGGGCACCTGAGTTGTGGGTTCACTCTCCCCTATTAGTCAATATGGCTTTTTCACATTGATGTTCCCTTCTCTCTCTCCCCACCCCTTTCTCTCTTCCACTCTCTCTGAAAAAGCAATGGAAAAAATATCCTTGCCCTACCCAGCATCAGCCTGCGGACTGAAGGGTCCCGGGTTCGATTCTGGTCAAGGGCACATACCCAGATTATGGACTTGATCCCCAGTAGGGGTTGTGCAAGAGGCAGCTGGTTAATGATTCTTTGTCATCATTGATGTTTCCATCTCTCTCTCCCTCTCCCTTCCTCTCTGAAATCAATAAAAATATATTTAATAAATAAATAAAAATAGGTACTTTTTGACATTTTGACATCATCAAAATATCCACTTTTCAAATCATACTTT